GTCTCCATCTGCTGTGCTCGGTAGGCTTCGTAGTGCAGCTCCTCAGTGGTGTGGATGAGGTCGAGCATGTGAGTGCGGATCAGGATGGATCGCAGCTTCTTGAAGTCACAGTGGTCCTCGTTCTCGACCTCGGCAACGCCCCAAGAGTACTGGCGGCCCTTGACGATGCGACCGTCGCTGGTCTTGACATCCTTCTCGGATCCGATGACGGCAAACGGCACAGCGGCCATAAGACTACGCGCGTGCTGGGCGGCAGCCTCGTCATCCTCCTCAATAGGGGGCTGGTAGATCTTGATGTTCTGGGCCTCGATGACACTGACAATCTGCAATTGGTTAGCAAAGGTGGACGTGCGGAACATGAGCGAGGTTTTGCTTCATCGTACCCTCTGCTTGAACTTGGCCAGATCGGCGGGGCTGAGAGTATCAGCCTTGGCAATGACGGGGATCAGGTTGACTCGGGAGCAGAGGCGCTTCATGACCTCGATATCCAAGGGCTTCAGGGTGTGGCCGGTAGGACGGATGAAGTACAAGCAGGCATGGACACGCAGATCAATCTTGTCCTGACGGCGCGGCTGCTGCTCCTGGAGCATGTAAGACTCGTGCTGGTCGTCGAGGAACTCGATGATGGGTTGCCAAGAGTCGCGGTTGTTGACATAGTCACCGAATCCAGGGGTGTCAATGACAGTCAATCGAACTAGAGAGCATCACGAAACTCATGCTTAGCGTGTTGTCTCTTCCATAGGGTTACACCTGCGTTAGGCAGCTAGGCAGCTCTTACCCTTGAAGAACTTCTCCTCGAGCTCGGCCTTGGTGATTTCAATCTCGACCGTCTTGTCGACCTGCTTCTGGTGTCGGCGCTTGTGGTCGGCGTAGTTCTTGATGGTCGTGGAGAAGAGGGTGTTGATGAAGGTCGTCTTGCCCAGACCAGACTCGCCAGCAACCTAGGAGCAAAAACGTGCGTGTTAGTTGTCGTTGGAACAAAAAACAATCGAGCTGGCCAGGCCGCAGACGCGTTTGCAACCGGCACATCTCGAGGGCAATCGCGTACCATGATGGTGAAGCTAGCTCCACGCTTCGCGACAATCTTGTGTCGCTGGTTGGGCAGATTGGCAATGCCAATCGGTGAGGCGCTCTCAGCAGCTGCGGGAGCCATCTTGCACACGTGGAGGTGGAGGGGCTACGGATGAAGGTCTTGGGGGAGCTTTGAGAGCGGATGAGCGAGAGGACGGTAGCTGGCGATGGGCTACGGATGCAGGCAAGAGTCGAGAGACAGAGACAGGAGGAGGATATTCAGGTGGCCGATGGCTCTGGTCAAACGGAAAACAAAGTGGAGGTTGGCACTTCCTGAGCTTGAACTTTCAGGGGATAGAAGGGGTTGAGGCGGTCGTATCCCCCAATTTTCCACTCTGGCGAATTGCCCAGGGGCTGCTGGCTGCTGATAGGCCAGGTGGCGGATTGGGTTTAGCGGGCTGGTGCGACTGGGTTGGCCTGGGGGGGGGATAGAGGGATAGGCAGAGCAGGAGCAACGGCGGTCGGTCTCCTTTTTTCTTGGTGCTTGCCTTTTTGTCCGTAGCATGAACAGGTTCAATGGGAGCAGAAGCAGCGGATGAGGTTCTGGGTACATTGGGCTCTCGCTCTTTTGCCGTGAAGCCGCCGGTGCAGCAGCATGTACAGGCTACCTACCAACTCAAGATTAGAATGAGATGGCCAGTGCGCCCCCGGCATTACTGTGCTCGTACTTTGGTGTTTGCAGTCGTACCACTTTAGGCTTAGATACTGTAGGAGCGGAATAAAGTGTCTGCCGGACTTTTAACGGCAAAGGAAAAAAAAAATTGAAAAAAAGCCCCGTATCGATAAGGAAGTCGCAGGCTCGTTTTTTTGATGCGACCAGCAGAACAATATCAGAGCTTCATCTCCCAGTATAGTTTGTTCATGATCATGGCAAGTGGTCGACAATGAAGACCGATTTCAGGGTATGACCAAGACTTGATTCTACTTTATCAAACCATTCCATCATCAGCCAATTGCCCACTACACACATACACAATATGCAACTGCGATTCCCATATCGATTCCGGGTCGACGGCTAACCTCGAGTTCCTTGATAGTTTTCCAACTTGCTGGGCACTGTCTACTGCCAAGGCAACTTGGTCTTCAGTCCAGATGGCACCCATCTAATTTCGCCCGTCGGCAACCGCGTGACCGTGTTCAACCTGGTAGAGTATGTCGTGTCATGTCGGCGCATCGTAACCGTCAAGATCTCCTCAACAAAACGAAGCTGGATGGCTAATTCGATACAATAGCAACAAATCCCATACCCTACCATTCGCCCATCGCAAGAACATTGTTCGAATCAGCCTCTCCCCACGCGGAAACCTCCTTCTCACCGTTGACGAAGACGGCCATGCGATCCTGACCAACGTTCCCCGCCGCGTGTCCATCTACCACTTCTCGTTCCGGTCGCAGGTCACAGCGCTCTCGTTCTCGCCTTCGGGCAGATACTTTGTGGTGGGATTGGGGCGCAAAGTCGAGGTCTGGCATGTGCCTTCAACGCCGGATACCAATGCCGACGGAGAGCTTGAATTTGCTCCCTTTATAAAGCGCCGCACCCTCACCGGCCACTTCGACTCGGTTCAGCACATCGAGTGGTCCAGCGACTCCCGATTCTTCTTGACAGCCTCCAAAGATCTGACGGCAAGGATATGGAGTGTGGAGGCTGAAGAAGGATTCATCCCTACTGTTCTGGGTGGCCATAAGCAAACCGTCATCGGTGCATGGTTTTCCGGCGACCAAGAGGCGATTTACACAGTCAGCAAAGATGGTGCAGTCTTTACCTGGAAATACGTTAAGCCGCTCAACTCTTCTAAAGATGACGAGGATGAGGATGACAGCGATGATGAGTCGGATATGAGATGGCGAATTGTGGAGAGGCATTACTTCATGCAAGGCAGCGCACACGTGCGATGTGCCTTTTTCCACGCCGAAACGAACCTCCTAGTGGCCGGTCTATCCAACGGCCTGTTCAGTCTCTACGAAATGCCCGACTTTAACAACATTCACAAATTGAGCATCTCTCAGAGCGACGTCGATTTTGTGACGATCAACCAGAGCGGAGAATGGCTAGCTTTTGGTGCCTCAAAGCTGGGGCAGCTGCTAGTCTGGGAGTGGCAGTCGGAGTCGTATATCCTCAAACAACAGGGCCATTTCGACTCAATAAACTCTCTCGTCTACTCGCCAGATGGCCAGAGAATCATTACTACGGCTGATGATGGCAAGATCAAGGTGTGGGACATTGAATCTGGTTTCTGTATCGTCACATTCACCGAACACACCAGTGGCGTCACGGCTTGTGAGTTTGCCAAAAAGGGAAATGTACTCTTCACGTCAAGTCTCGATGGCTCCGTTCGGGCCTGGGATCTCATCAGATATCGAAATTTCCGTACCTTTACGGCCCCAACAAGGCTTTCCTTTACAAGCATGGCCGTTGACCCTAGTGGCGAAGTAGTAGCCGCAGGATCGTTGGACTCATTTGACATTCACATCTGGTCAGTGCAGACTGGCCAACTGCTTGATCGGCTGGCTGGTCACGAGGGCCCTGTGTCTGCGCTGGCTTTCACACCGAATGGTAACTCCTTGGTGAGTGGAAGCTGGGACAGGACGGCACGGATCTGGTCCATCTTCAACAGAACACAGACAAGCGAGCCATTGCAGCTGCAGGCCGACATTCTCGACATTGCCGTCAGACCGGATTCCCTTCAGCTGGCCGTTTCCACAATTGATGGCCAGTTGACCTTTTGGTCAGTATCAGAAGCTGAGCAGACGGCGGGTCTCGACGGGCGCCGCGACGTATCCGGAGGACGAAAGATGTCAGACCGAAGAACTGCAGCGAATATCGGTGGCAACAAGAGTTTCAGCACAATCCGATACAGCACCGACGGAAGCTGTCTCCTGGCAGGTGGCAACAGCAAATACATCTGCCTCTATTCCGTGTCCACCATGGTGCTGCTCAAGAAGTTCACCGTCAGCGTGAACCTGTCTCTGTCCGGAACACAAGAGTTCCTCAACAGCAAGTTCCTGACCGAGGCCGGTGCACTGGGAGAGATTGACATGCAGGGCGAGGCATCCGACCGCGAAGACCGCTTTGACGCGAGCCTGCCGGGATCCAAGCGTGGCGGCGACCCTTCGGCGAGGAAGCAGAGGCCCGAGGTTCGGGTGACGGGAGTTGCCTTTTCGCCTGCCGGTACGGCGTTTTGCGCCGCTTCGACGGAGGGCTTGCTCATCTACAGCTTGGACCATACGCTGCAGTTTGATCCGTTTGACCTCAACATTGAGATCACGCCGGCGTCGACTTTGGCCGTGATGGAGAATGAAAAGGACTACCTCAAGGCGCTGGTCATGGCGTTCCGACTCAACGAAGCTGGCCTCATCAAGAGAGTTTTCCAGGCCGTTCCTCCAGCAGACATCCCTCTTGTCGTCGCTGATCTCCCCACCGTCTATGTCCCGAGACTGCTCCGCTTCGTCGCCGCCCAGACGGAGGAATCTCCGCACATCGAGTTCTGCTTGCTGTGGATCAAGGCGCTGGTTGACAAGCACGGCGCTTGGCTGACGGCCAACCGCGGCAAGGTGGACGTTGAGCTGCGCGTGGTGTCGCGGGCGGTTGTGAAGATGCGGGATGAGATTCGGCGACTGGCCGACGAGAACGTGTACATGGTTGACTATCTGTTGAGCCAGGCTGATAATAAAGATGACAAGAGCGGTAATGGCGATGTGCACTTGACAAGCGCGCAGCAGAAGACGGTCGATACGATCATGAATGGCGCGGGCGACGAGTCTGCTGACGATGGGGAAGATGAGTGGATGGGCATGGATTAAACTTGATATTCTTGAATAAGGAGCATAACATGGGTTTTTATTTACATTAGAGCTAAAAACAAAGACACAAAATGAACAAAAACTCCTTGAGCCATCATGAAATACTTATAGTTGTCGACTCCAAAGGACTACAGTTTCCCATCCGCCTCTTTGGGCACATTTTGCCACGCATCATCAAAACCAGCAGATCTCACCCACATGGCAGGTTCCTGAGGGCCTTCTGTGCTCTGCAACAAGACCTGGTGCATCTTCAACCACGTCTCGTCATCCGCTATGCGAATCCACGGCCTGTCAGCAAACTTCCGCGACAGTTTCTGAGCGATGAAGAACGCGCGGACGACTTTGATGGTATGTCCGTCGTCGAGAATCTCGTGAAACCGCGGGAGCAGATCCTCGGGCTTCGTCGCGGAAGCCACAGTGCCGTCCTTTGGAGTAAACGATTGGAGGGCGTCGAGACGCAGCGGCGGACATCCGCGGGCGATGTACTGTACGATGTCGAGGCGGATCTTCCATTCGAGTATGCGAGCTTTTTGAGCGGGTGTGAGCCAGGTGAAGGAGAGGAGGGTGACGAAGAAGGGTGATGAGTTGAGATGATGACTAGAAAAAAAAATCGATTTCTTAGTAAGTAGAGCAAAACCATGTAGCTTGGAGAGAGGAGATGAAGGGGCTTACATCAAGAAAAAGTCAAACTTGGGAACATTCGGCGGATGAAAAGCCGCCGTAGCAGCGACATACGCGCACGAATGAACCATCTCGGCCAATCTCTCGTCAAGCTCATCCTCGCCAACTCGAATCTGCTTCAAAAACCCCAGCGCCTCATCAGGGGCACGCACAAAGACGCCGTCATACACCTTGTTGGAATCCCCGAACCGAGCACTCGCGGCGAGTTTTTCGCTGTACTGCCTGACGGACTCGAAGAGCTCGGGCAGGGGAGTCTTCTGGGGCCGAGAGGAGGCGGCGGCTTGCTCGACCTTGGTGAGGAACGCGCCCACGCGGTTTTCGTGGACGGCGGCTTGGGCGAGGCCTTCTGCTACGATGGCGGGTTGGTGCCATTCGATGCCGTACATGAGCTGGATAAGGGGGTGTAAGAAGCCTTGACGTGGTCATATCAGCATTGCGTTGCGTTGAGTTTTGTCATATGAGTAGGTAGTGGAAGACCGCTTCGGACACGTACCAGCAAAGAGGCGACCAAAGATGGCCTCACTCCTCTCATCTCCCTTGAAGACATACTCCAGCAGAACCTTGTCCCACCCCTTTTCGTCAATCTCGTCTTGAAAGAACTTGAGAAAGTCGGGATAGTACTTCCCCTTTCCGAGGTAGGGACAATCTGCTGACCACCCACTCTTGAGCTCCTTGACGACATCGGGGTGAGTGTTCATGGCCTTGATTTGATAAGAGTGGTTTTCGGCGTAGGCTTGCTCGAGGACGCTGGGGGAGGCGCCGGTGGCATAGAGAGAGAGGAGGAGATGGACAATCTAGGTTGTTGATTCTCTTAGCATCTCATTTGAAGGGTAGAGCAGACCAAAACGGAGATACTTCATGAACGCAACTGGAGAGAGCTTACATGATTATGAAAGCCTTCCGCGTTGAAGAACACATGGTGGCTCTATAGTACTCGAGTTAGTTGAGTATTATTCTCGTCAAGATTTACGAGAGAAGATATACCTCGAGATCCTTTTGCAAAAGCTCAGAGACCTTTGCGGCAGACTCGTCCGTCTGCGCCCACCTCAACAGGCCTGTATCAGTGGTGGGGACTCGAATCTGCCACGGCGTCGCCATACTTGAAGCAGGACGGATTCTAGTTGAATTGGTCAATATTGTTTGCGGGGACCGAATCGAGAATATCGGATTGTATCTAGAATTCAATCGCAAATGCACAACAATTGATCGCGTTCTCGATAGCAGTGAGGATGAAGATGGAATAAGTGCCATGGCGTTCAAAATAGAGGCAAGGCGGGCACAAATGCAATAATTATAGCTTCTACCATTGCATCACCAACCACGTGCCTGCGCCAAACAGCTCTGTCCAATCGCAGACATTCAATTATTCAATATTTCCGCTGTAGCACGTCGGAACTCATCAAGGTTGCATCAAGGCTGCATTTCTCATGGATGACAAATTCTTGTTGCAGAGGCTGAACCTGTGTCCAAGGTTCGTCGATGACGGGCCTTTGTGTCTGGCGAGCGGCTTAGTGGCACAGCTGGGCTGCAGATTGGTCTAAATGGAAAATGAGGAGCCACTTTGTTGGACGGGAATTACTCCGAGACAAACGGCAAATGGACATGTCGAATTCGAATTTGGGGGGAATTGGGGAAACGGGAATCATGGACCAAAGCTGAGGCGAGTTGGAGAGGGGCCGTCAATGTCACGTTTACATCATAATATGAACTTTGATCCGATGCCAAACGGTACTAGCCGTGGTGGTGATGAACAGGTCAAGGCAATGTAAATAGACGTCAATAAATAGGTAAACAGCTGTAGTTAATCAGTGAATTCACATTATCAACATCGACATGGAGGCAGAGATTTGGGGGAATATGTGTGTGATATCATTCTTTGCCAGCCGCCTTTTGCCAATCTGATTCTATCTCAAAAGCATCCTACTCAACCCATCTAAGCTTCCTTATTTTGTGTAAACCCCCTTTCCCATCATCGTCGTCGTCGTCGTCATCAACTTTTTTTTTATATCCATCCCGTGCCCAAGTGGCTGCATAAATTTCGCCTGGTTTCATCAAAAATAGAGACGAGGAAAATCCCAATCCAAATGAAAAAGAAAACAACTCGAAAAAAGAAAATCGTCAAAATCATAAGCACGCTTAAGCCTTGCGCTTCTTGGAGGGCTGGGCATCTTCCTCATCCTCATCCATCTCCTCGTCAGACTCAAAGTTGATGTCGCTCAGGGCATCCTGCTCTTGGGCCGTCACTATTGACGTCTTAGCGCTGCTGTTCATGCATCCTCCGATTCCTCCGATGAATTCTCAGAGGCGTGAATGTACTCACAGAAGTACTTGATGGCGCCGGGCCAGAGATCCTCGGCGATGCAGACGGCAAGGTCGTCGGCGGTGGGGAAGATCTCCATCTCGTACTCGTCGTCATCATCATCCTCGTCCTCGTCCTCGGGCTCGTCCTCGGTCTCCTTGCCCTCCTTGCGGGCCTTGCGCTTCTCCTGCTCCTCCTTGAGGGCGGCCTGGTTCTCCTCCTCGGAGATGCTCAGGCCGCGGAAGCCAAACCAGGCGAAGAAGCTGACGCCGTCGAGGCCGGTGCTCTCCATCTGGCTCTTGAGCTTCTTCTTGGCCTCGGTGTCGTCACCCTTGCCGGCCTTGTCGTCCTCCCAGACCTGGTAGACGAGGTCCAGCAGGCCGCTGGTCAGGTCCTTGTCGGCCTTCCAGTTGATCTTGACAGGCTCGCTGACGAGGCCCGCCCAGCCATCCTTGTTGCGGCGCCACCAGAACTTCTTCTCGAGAACCTTGTTCTCAAAGTACTCGTTCTCGCTGAACTCGAACTTGATGGAGATGCTGCGAGGGTCGCCGTTGGGCAGCTCAAAGCGCTCCACGGACAGGTTGATGAGGGAGCTCAGGAGGACGGCTGAGTCGGTCGGCTGGACGTACTCGTCGATATCCGGGGGGGCCTGCTCGAAGACGAGGGGCCAGAAGTTGGGGATCTCAGAGACGACCTTGGCACGCTTTGCGTACAGGTCCTTGGTGAGCTTGGCCTGTTGGCGGACTGCGATACGAGGATTGTGTTAGCTTGCGGATCATTTAAATCAATCAATAGAACGGTCAAAATAGTTCACTCTTCTTCTTATGCCATGCGCAGGGGGAAACAGGACACGCCGGGTAGTATCTCGGCGAGTATTCTGCCGCCGAGACTGCAGCAATAACAAGCTACATGTCAAGAGCAGCAGTCTTGCCGCCTCTAGCGGATAACATGTCATCAAGGTGAAGAGGGGGAATGAATGAATGAATGAATGAATGAACGAATAGGCAAAATTCATTCATGGTTCAGGTGTGTGGCAAAGGCTGGCGCGGGGTGACTTACGGAGCTCAAGCTCAACCTCTTCGAAATCATCCTCGAGGTCCTCCAGGATCTCGTAGGAGATGGGGTTATCAATGTTTTCGGCAGACATGGTGACAGTCGGTAGTGAGCTGTGTGTACGGTAGTGTTGCGATAATAAAAAAAAGCCGGTGGTTTGACGGTTGTAAGTTTTGGGACGGAGGGGGAGCTGGAGCAGCTGGTGCTTTATACCTTAGTACCTGTACCTTGGTACCTTTGGTAGCAGTGCCTGAGGTACCTGTGAGGTGCTGATGGTGGAAATCAGGTACCGACGGATATGACGTCTTGGTCTAGACTGGCTGACGGGGTAAGGAGAAAATTTTCTCAGCTCACTGGAGGGAAGCTGATCAACGCCGAGAGCAAGTACCTAATGGGCATGCAAGAGAAAAAAAAAAGATGGACGTCGAAAGAGCTTGCAGGCAGATTTGCGTGGGTATGAGTGGACGCGGTACCTTGCCTAGCACGGCATCGGCTCCCTGGCACTTGGGCGGCCTTGGGCCCGAAACGGCAAAACCAGGGTGCACTAAGCCCGCTGGAGCTTGGTGAAGGGTCCACTGACTCGAAGCTCTTGCAGCGGAGGGTCCACTGGAGAGGGCAGCCTAAAGAAAAAGAAAAGAAGAGAAAAGTTGTTGGGGGCGGTGGTACTCGACAAGGACATGCAATTTGTATGGCGGGAGCAGGTCACCGATAGTTTTCCTTTGTTTTGTTTTTTTCTTTGTCGTGGCATTGCATTGATTGCTCTGGTGCTCCACTCAAAGGGTACCCAAGATGAGCATGAAAATACATGAAATTGGAAGAGGAGAGGACAAGAGGAAAAGAGGCCACAACCTTAGTCTAGGCGGCCCCAGATGCGGCGAGACGGACAAACGCCACCCCCCTCTGAAGCTTTCCAAGGTTCTTTTTCTCATGTTGTTCCTCTTTTTGATGTGGACTACTATGCTGAATAAAGAGAGATAAAGGGTAATTTGAATAGGATTGCCGTATATAATAGGCAGGATAAGCACCATCAGTAGAACATGATGATTGGTATGCGGAAAGCTGCATGTTGGAGAGTGTCTGTGGCTGCAGACAAAAAGCTCGGATGGCACCGTGCATGAGCTCACTTTTGCCTTTTATCCAACACAGGGTAGTGTCAGGTCAGATCACATCCCATTCATTCATTCATTCATTCATTCATTCATTCATTCATTCATTCATTCATTCATTCATTCATCCTATTCAACTGCAACGACATGAATGATTCGCATTGTGATATTTGACAATCTGCCTGTCCTTGAACATTCTCAATCTCTTCCCGCAAAATTTCTTATCTGCGATAAGCCATGCCCCTCCCCCGCCTCGCCCACTCATCAATCAGTCAAATCAACCCCCCACCTTTGAATGTTCGATATTCCTCTCCTTGAACATCCAAACCCGCCTCAACAATAGCAATAACGACGTTTGAACAATAGCTTGGCGACGCAGTTATTTCCTTCTGTTAACTTCACCTTCACATTCTCGTTCAATATATAATCGTCTTTCGTCAAATCAAGCAATATGAGATGATGCCGCCTATTTAAGCTCTCCTCTCTTCTTCATTTTACAAGGGCTTTTCATCCTCCCAAATCTCCACCTGCATCTCCAACACCATACATCGAAAACTCGCTACCAAGTCTCAACAGCCAAACACACAAACTCGCATATCTCTCTACACCTATCAACTGGGTACATTTTTCGTTATGGACGGCACAATGCCCACCCCAATAGATCTCGGTCAACCGACCAAGCTCAACTGCGAAGTCGCAGTCTTCAGTGGCGCCTCCGGTCTCGAGGCTCAGGCCATGGGCGCCAAACGCATCGAGCTCAACGCTCCAGGCTCGTACGATGAGGGAGGCCTCACGCCCCCGGTCAAGGAGCTGACCTCGATTGCCTCGCAGCTTGAAATTGCCGTCCGCATCATGATTCGCCCTCGCGGCCCGCCTCGCGTTCCCGTCCTGCAAGGGGGACAAGATCAAGACCAAGAGAAGAAGAAAGAAGGAGAGGAAGACCAGGACCACCTGCTCCAAGACTTCATCTACACCGACGACGAGATTGCTCTCATGCTGCAAGCCATCCACAACTTCAAAGCCACTAGGGTCCTCAACCCCATCCGCGGCGACGGTTTCGTCTTCGGCATCCTCAGGCGCCAGACCAAAGCCTCCACCCTCGCAAAGTACCCAGACCTCAAGTACACCGTCGACGAGGAGCGCTGCAAACTCCTCATCGACGCCGCCCGCCCCTTCCCCTGCGTCTTCCACCGCGCCTTCGACCCCATCGCCGCCAGCGAGCGCTGGGCAAAGGGCATCGACATCCTCGTCCGCTGCGGCTTCGACGGCGTCCTGACCTCGGGAGGCCTCGGTAACTGCCACGAGAACCTCGAGAAGCTCGACGCAATCTGCCACCGCGCTGCCCCCGGCAGCCTACAGGTCATCGCCGGTGGTGGTGTCCGTCGCGGCAACGTCCGCGACTCTGTTGCCCGGCTGTCTGTCCACGGCACTAAGAGTGTCTGGATGCACACTGCCTCGCTGGCTAACAAGGTCGACAAGGACGGCCGCCGCGTGGAGGAGTTGAATGGACGTGAACTGTCGCAAATCATTTCTGTGATGAACGCCACAAGGCCCGACTAGAAGTCTCCGGCTGACCATTGGCGCAAACACTATGCCCATCTTTACCAATAGCGGTGAGATTCTCGTCCCTGGTTTTTTTTTTCTTTTTCTTTTCTTTTGTGCAAAAAGGAATCTCTCTCGAAAAGTTGACAACCCTTGCGAATATAACACCACTCTCCGAATTCGAGGACATGAGTTCAGCGGCTCCTCGAACGTATGAGTTTCTTGTTTTCTGTTTTTATATTGGAGTGAATGGACACACATCAGCTTCACCATTCCACTCACTCATTTAGCAACCAGCAGGCGGGTTTTCTTCTTCTTTTTATTTCACAACATGACGGCAAGAACAAAGACGGCAACGCTGCCAAAGGATAGATTTGATTGCTTTCAGGGCATCCGGTGTTCCGGCTCAGAAAAAGTTTAGATGTGATTAGATGTTACATGAGACACTTACCTAAAAGCAATAGAACCGCGATTGCAAAATTCGATCAAGAATACATAAACTCTCTCTTCTTTTCAATTCGTAAATTAAATACTGCGCATTGTCGTGACAAACGCTTTCATCTATATATACCCATTTAAACCCCCCACAAGACCATCCTCTAGCAATCCTCACCCTTGCCATGAGCCAGGCCCAAGCAGTTGGCAATCTTGTAAAAGATGTCGACGTTGCTATAAGTACCGCCAAACGTCTCCTGACAAGGGCCGAGAGCAAACACGGGCACGTCAGTCAAGGAGTGGACACCCTGAGCCTCAGAGGTGGGAATGGTTCCGTTGATGACGATGCCGTCGACGCCGTCCTCGGGGTTGACAAAGTACTCGCTGCCCATGGGAACGGCGGGCAGGCGAGGGCCGTTCTTGTGGACCTTGTAGTTCTCACGGTGGTCAGGGGCAGCACCAACACCACCGGCAATGGCGTAGCGAGGCTCCCAGTTGGTGGGGAAGTTGACGCCAGTGCCGTAGCTGATCTTGCCGTCCTTCTTGGTGTACTGGGAGAGGCCAGACTTTTCGTAGACGCCAATGGCATTGCGCTTGGCGCGCTCGTCCTTCTGGGCTGTCAGGTATTCGGTATCAGCAGAGCCAAAAACACTGTTTGACGCGTTAGCAGCTAATCAATTTATACAACAAGCGGAAAGGGGGGGTGACAAGGAGGAGGAGGAGGAGGAGGAGGATGGAAATGCAGGGAGACATGACATACTCAAAGCCGTGGCCGTGGTCAGCAGACACCACAATCAGGGTCTCTTCATAGATTCCCAGCTGCTTGAGCTTGGCAACGGTAGCACGGACGGTGTCGTCAAGCTCCAAAAGATCACCCAGAGCACGATCGTAGTCAAGGACGTGCATTTGCTTGTCGATGGAAGCAGCCTCGGACATGAGGAAGAATCCCTCCTTGCCGCCGCGCTTGTGCAGGATGTCGACAGCCTTGAGGGTCATCTCCTTGAGACCGGGCAGGTCAAGAGCAGGTCCCTTTCCACCCTTGGGGTCGTTCTTGAAGTCCTTGAGGTTGTCCTTGTAGATGTTACGGTCCAGCCAGACGGGCATGACACCCTGGCAGAAGACACCAAGGGCCTTCTTGTTGTTGTCGGCAGCGAGGAGGGACTTCTTGTCGGTGCTGACAGAGTATCCCTTCTTGGCGAACTCGGCATAGTAGTCCTTGCCCTGGTAGGAACCGGTACCGGGGAGGAACTGCTCAGCACCGCCACCGAAGAAGACATCAGGACCACCGTGGTTGGTCCAGGAGTAGTTGGTCATGCCGTGGAGGGCCTGGTCAATCAGAGAGCCGTACTCGCTGCGGCGGCGAGTGTGGCCACTGAGAGCAATGGGAGTGGCATCGGCAAGGAAAGCGGTGGAGACGGCACCCCAAACACCTTTCTAAGGCAGGATGTTAGCCAATTGCTCGTCATATTTGCATTGGTTATTGTATACTTACGCGGACACGACGGAAGATTTCAACAATGGTCTCAACCTTGGGGTCGTCGAAGGCGTTGGGAGAGGAGTCGGCGTGGACACTAAACATGTCTGTTAGCGTTCCATCGGACGTGATGCCCCCTTTTCGCCGGGAAGACTGTACCCCATAGCGTTGACGGTGCTCTTGTGGCCAGAGTAGAGAGCAGAGGCAGAGTTGGCAGAATCGGTGATGTAGCTGTCAATGGAGTGAGTCATCTGGTGGCCCAGGACGGGGAATTCGTCAAGCTGCAGGCGAGTCTGATATTTGCCGTTGATGCTCTGATGTCCAAGGAGACGAGCAGCGGTAATCTACACCAGCATCAATGGTTAGCAATTGGGAGGTCAGGCCGTTCACAACTCAATGGCAACATACCATGTTGGTGGTCATGCCGTCGCCAATGAAGAAGATGACGTTCTTGGCCCTCTTCTTGGTGTGGAGGTCGCGGACAACCCATTTGGCGGTGGTCTTGTCGCCATTGTAGTAGTTCAAGGTGACGGTGTAAGTGCCCGGCTCGTAGAGGGCAACCTTACGGTATGCCTTGGAGGCGACGTTGACGACTGAGGGCTTGTGGGCATCTTGAGCAAAGAGATCCTCATACCAGTTGAACGTCCACTTCTCGAGCGAAGGCTCTTTGATGCCAAAGGCATTGGCAAAGTCCTTGGCCTTGCCGCCGTCCTTGGAGATGGTCACCTTGAACTTGTCGTCGGGCTTGCCGTTGTGGGCGGCCTCGGAGCCGTTGACGGGAGCGTGAACCTCGACACGCAAGTCAAACAGCTGGCCGGGGAGGAAGTCGCTCTGGTCGGGAGGCAGAACACATCCCAGAGTCGGGCATGTTCCCAGGCGCTGGAAGGTCTGGGCAGAGACTCCCGACAGCGAGGCTGCGAGGAGGCCGACAACTCCAAACTTGGCAATCATCTTGGGCTGTGACAGCTATCCAAGACTATAGCAATGACTGCAGGGCAAGGGTTACTGGGGGGGGGCCAGGCAAGAGGTGCGGCATGGCAAGGCTCGTCAGTCCCTTATATACAAGCATGACGGGCAATCCGGTCCTCGCGTGACGACCATGCCGAGCAACGCAAAATGCTGCAGCCAGCGGCCAATTCCGTTAGCCTCCCTGGCCGTGTACAGCGTCAAGCAGATGGAGAGGGATGCAAGGCACCTTGCAACTTGGTCGAAGGGCATCATCATCCCTGCGTTGTCGGTCCATGGCGTCTGGGCTAGAACCACCGGCTATGGGCAAATACACCAATGTGAGGTAGCATCCATCGCTCCATGATACCCCATTGGCTCAGCCGGGTCCCTTCTCGCGTGGGGGAAACGCACGTTGCAGACGCCTGCTGTCTCCTTGGGGTGTGCTCGAAGCCGTGCTGCTTCCATCGCGATGCCAAGCAACGTGGAGACACAAGAAGCAGTCCCCTTATTGTCGAGCACACAGGCACGTGTCGTCTCAATGCCAGAATCGAGAGTCCGAGACCCTGCAGTAGACGGCGACGCTCGTGGCTCTTGGCAGTCCCTGGCAAAATCCAGGGCCCAAACGATGCCGGTCGTGGAGAAGAAGAGCAGCCGTGCAGTCTTGATAACCTCAGCCGTCAAAGCCGTTAGCTTGCGGGCTTCAAGGGACTTTGGTCTGCAGCCGAAGGTCTGTCGATCTTGGCGCTCGTCCCGTGGGTTGAAGCCATCGTTTCATTGGGCGCTCGGAACCGGCCCTGGTTCGTGTTTGCCCTGCGATTCGACAATTCAAAAGTTCGCAGACTCCGCAAGCCGACAGGCACCGGCAGCCATCTGAGGTGGTACTGCTGGTATTAGACGTGTTGGACTAGGTTTTTCTGTTATTGTTATGCTTATTTCTTATTTTCTGGATGAGTAGGTGGCCGCAGCCCCGCGGTATAAGATAAGAGCACAATGCAGATCCAAACTGAAGAGGTTTGCGTTGCTGTCGATGTCGTACTGTAGGATTTCCCCGCATCATGATGGTTCTTTTCTTTCCTTTGTGCTTGTTGAAGATGCGCATGGCGGGCAAGAAATATTGTCACCGTCATGTATAAACCCGGCGTCGGCGCATCCAGGCTTGCATGTCGCAAGGTTGCACGGCATCCAGAGCTGAACAGCCTCTCGGTCGCTCTCACGCAGCAGAACAACGAGGCTGGATCAAGTGGGCAGCAGTGACAAATGGCCCACGTCGAGACGAACTAGAGGCCAACCTCGTCTCAATCCGTTGACCGACGCTGCGTTTGTCGACTCTGAGTTTGGTCCATCTGATGAGTCGATAGTCTTGATGTTGAACCTTGGTCCAAGCTTGATTCAGGACGAGTTCTTTTCGGACAGAGCCCGGCTGGCAGCCTTTGAGGCGTAAGATTGAGGCCACATGGTTGACCATCGTCCTCGTCGTTGTCGTGTTTTTCTTTTCTTTTCTTTTATTTCAAAAAATCTCGTTGCTCCCTTCATGTATGGATCAAAGTTGTAAAGCGACCCATGGGTGTACGAGACTGTGCATCTATGGGTCGCCATAGCGTGTGCGGTACAGGCCTTCAACCCCACCGGATTTACTCTACCTAATACAGCTGCAAATGTTTACAGAGGCAGTTTATAAGCAAGTACTTGGTGGAAGTAATAGAACAGTAATGCAGAAGATAACGGCATTAATAAAAAGGGTTGATTTAGGAGCAGATATACATAGCACCGTCCTCAACACTTCAACCACAAGCTATGATGCCAAAGCCAGCGATTAGTGTAGTAAAGCTGTTTAACTAATCTCCCAGTCTGATTGTAATTATTTGTTCAAGATGAACATGCTTCCGGTCCAACCATACGCCCGTGCAAGTCTCCGACCTTGGCGTCTAGCGACCATGAAAGACATTTTGCCTCTGGGATGTGGCTCGTGAAACTGAATGCTTGCTTTGGCATCATAGCTTGTGGGAGAGAACTGCCAGACTGATCCGTAAAGCTTCTGCGCCATAAAGCCGATCGAAGTCATGGTATGTACAAAGTCATACCAAGGTACCTCTCCAGGTGTGGATGTAGCATCAGGATTGAAGAATAATGTGCGGAAGACCTTTAGCGCGCGATTGTCAACTCTGAAGCAGGGTTGAAGTTTGGCCTCCTCTTCCTCACGACTGGTTTGGATGCTCTCCAATGCCTGCTGGTCTGCCTGCTGGTCTGCCTGCTGGTCTGCCACGCCTCTAGTCTTCACTTTAGCTTTGGTCGGCTTCGTCTGCGTCTACGTGCCGGCCGTTGCCCGCCCGTGAGCTTGATCATCCCATAGATTGAAGCATACGGGCGAGAGCGGTTGTTCAACAGCAGGAGCTCCAGCGACCCGAGGCTTTGGCTGCTCGACCCATTCCGGAGTCCGCTGCAAAAGATGGGCTTGCGAAAGGAGCCTTTGCGCAGCGGACCCCAGCTCTATCCCAGGTCCTGAAAACATTAAGCTGTCAACTTGGGCCCAAAATCTATCAAGATTCTGCTCAGCCAAGCGTAGCTTCTCCACATTCTCCTTTGTTCGACGCTTGTCAAAGGGATATATAAACTTTCCAAGCAGCGGTTTCCCGAGCTCTACTACCTTGCTCAGGTTCACATCCTTCAGGCAGGCAAGCATTTGGGTCCACGGTTTGCTCTTGGTGGCAAAGGCTTTCTCCAGGTCATCTTGCACACTCACGGCTTCGTCCTCAAAGTTGCGGGCCCATGGCTGATATACGTCAGGTTGGTGAAGGCACTGGGAAATGATAGAGGCGTTGCCAATGATGCTCGCGACAGTGCTAGAGATGAGATCGCTCGCCGTCGGCTCGGCGAGCAAGAGACGCTTTAGTTCATCTACCACGCACGGCAACCTAAGGAGGAAGAGGTTATGGCCATCCTCCCACAGCGTTCGAAGCAGGTAGGTAAGCTGGCCACGACCTTATTCATCTTGAGCCCTTTTGACACGATGCCGATGTTAGGCGAAGCGTTGTCGATTGGCGGATAGCGAACATAAAACCTTCGCATCGGTGGAGATGCCACTACGGTCTGTTTCAGCTGTGCCAAGGGTCCTTTGATTGCCTGGTTAAGGAAATGGCGGAACTTTAACAGGGCGAGTAGGTATTCTTCAGGGAGGTCTTCCATTGGCGAAATGTCCGATTTGTACCTCTCCTGCAAAGTAACCAATCCTTGTACTTGGTAGTGGAGTTCCGAGAAGAGCTCGAGGTCAAAGTAAGCATTGAATATGGCATTGCCAATCACGCGTGCCCAAAAGATGTGCTCGCGACCTGGGGTTAGAGTCGGATGGGTGTGGTCAAGGGTGTCTGGAATTAATTCTTGTCGATGCTCCCTTGCGTCTAAGAGATGCTGGCGAAAGTAATCAGGGTCCTCCCGTAAAGCCCAAAGGTGGTCTTCGGCTGCCTGAGCTTTTGCTGCCAGTAGTGATTCAACACGTTTCATGTCAAGCTGGGCCGGGACTCGGTAAGGTGCTTCGGCAGCCATCAAGGCCAGCGACTCGAAGCCATTCAGTTCGCTCTCCGTCTTTAAAGGCGGCTCTGGCTGGATAGGGTATACGTTGTTTGTTAGCTGGTCCTTGTCAATATCATGAAGTATGCTCTGGCAACAGTCCACAAGAAATCTCATCAGCCTGTCCTGAGCTTGGAGAACGATAAGGCCATCACCTGGACTGAATTGCTTCTGAGTATTCATCCAGTCGAAGGCGTCCGCATGGTCATCCCACGAGAGCAGTCGTCCGTATTCCTCCACGGCCGTCACCCCATTCAATATCATCGTATATTCGTTCAGAAAGCTCCGCTCGATTGCCTCGCATACAATGCCCAAGTGCATAGCTTCCAAATCCGCTGCCGCAAAACTAGAAGGGAGCTCCCTCCCTCTCGCATTCAGCATTAGTGGAAGCGACTGCGTCTGCAGCAGGTCCTCCTGATTGATGCAAGGCCACATGAAGCCGCTCGTGGCCGGGTTGGCTCCAAGGTGCGGCAGACGTCCTGCTCTCCGGAAAGCTTCATAATCGGGGCGATGACTGGACGGCATTCCCGGCCACGCTTTTGCTAAGATTAGAATCCTCTGCTGTCTGGTTTTCTTGACCCATCTTTTCCTGATGGTAGATTCGTGCCTCTGGAGAATCCCGTGCAGCAGGTCGTAGTGGAAGAATATTGCGGTTGCCTTCTCCTTGGCTTCCGCACGAATTTAGGCTACGGATGGCAGCTTCGGAGTAGGCCGGCCGATAACATTAAAGAAGTTTGCCGGGTCAGAATAGAAGTCCCCGGGTAGCTGCAAATCACTACCAGAGGCAGCTGTGAAGTCGTCCATTTCACCGGTGAGTTGGGATGTTATGGCTTGAAGGTTGCTGTAGTCAATTGGGTGGCCAGATGATATCCTAAAGAAGATTATAGCAGTTGTTCTAGCGGGCTTTTTTCTGACTAAGGGTCTCGCACAGCTATTAGGCGCCCATCTGGAGGCACATTAGTGGTAACGTTATCGCCTACCAGCAGCTCTTCAGTTGATTCCTACCTCATTTAATGTTATAATCCTGTTGCATCAGCAGACCATCTGATGTGTTTGGTTGCCTCTATTCACTTTATCTAATCTTGGCTCATCACGCCGTTTAGTCGGATATATGCAAGTGGCTGTTGTAAAAGCCAACTGAGCGAATCATCAGTTGAGATGCCTTGCAATTGGAAGCTTTGCTGACGTCAAGATACAGTAATTCACATGTATGCAGTAACTACCGCTCTCCTTTGTTGAGGGGGCTGGAATGCTTCATACTCCAACGACCATCTTCTTCTCCATCTCTCTGGAATGCACTCACTTACATGGAAACCCCATATAAACCCTCTTGTGCAATCGAGGAGAGAGGGGAGGACTGATGGCACAATGCCACACACACAAAAAAAAAAAAAAAAAAAAAAAAAAAAAAAAAAAAGGCTAGAATTTGAGTGCCTTCATACAGTTCCCCTCCAGCATGTCTAATCAAACTGTACAAGACATCCTCCAGTACCAGTTTCGAGACTCCAAACTTCTCGAGGAAGCTCTCCGGGCCCCAGGCACAGACCCGGGAACAACCCGCCAGAACCCAAGAGCACATGGAAATAAAGGTCTGGCCATGATTGGGGACGCCGTCCTCCGACTCGCCGTAGTCGACGATGGCATCGTTGACGGGAAAACTACCCGTGAGCTTCCCATGCCTATGATCCATGAACCACCTTGAATTCTCTTCCAAGCTGATTTGAACTTGCAGAGAGCTGCCATCAACTGTGTGTGGCCGAAATCTCGAATATCGCATTGAGCAAAACGCTGAAGAAATGGGAAATCGGTCGATTTGTCAAGCTGCATCCAGGTCAAAAGGGTGTCATATCTCCTGGCACAGGCGCCTCCACCGCTGAGGCGCTGGTCGGGGCTGTGTGGATTGATTCGGGTCGTGATTTCACCACGGTCCATCGCGTCATCCACAATCTCGACATTGCCAGTGAATTCTTGCAAACTGGAAATCACTTATGTGGCAAGGCAGAGACGGTTGTGGCAGCATAAAAACAATAGCCCAAGGTCAAGGTCAAAGTTGATACGTAAATTAAAAGGACACTCGCTTTGTGCTTCCTTAATCTCTTGTAAAACCTACTATTCAGATAGTCACCAAAAACTCACATAATGCCTTTAAGACACTGCCACCTTTTGTCCTTTTGTCATTTAGCTCGTTTCTAGTCTATTCATGCTAATTTATACTCAACGTTGCTGCAGCCTCTTCTACATTAACCACCGCCGCCGGCGTAGCATTTTGGCTCTCCTCACTAGGTGTATTGCTCTCAGCAAGACTCGTAATCTGTGCAGATGCTTCTCCCTTTTCTAAATCTTTCCAAGACGGTTTGTTGATCTTATCCGCACTGGCCTCGCTCTTAAAGTGATATCCTCTCGCCCGGGGCCTTTCACCAGTGCCTTCAGGAAACACAGGCTCATATGAAGCAGTAAACCGACGCGCTTCCTCCTCGAATACCGCTTGTCCCTTGGCAAGGGACTCGCGAACGCCGGCGAAGAACTCATCAACGACGTGATGGTTGTGGATCTGTAGGAGGTTCCAACCCAGCATCTCCTTAGCATTGAGTAGGTGGTGAAAGTAGGCTCTGTGGTGTTTCGAACAAGCGTAGCATTGGCAGCCCTCTACCAAGGGTACAACGGCTGCGCTGTGCTCTGGAGACCACATGTTGATTCCGAGAGGTCGCACCTCATCAACATTGGGTGGTGGGAAAGAGAATGTCATGGCAACGCCAGCATCAGAAGTGCTATTCGTAAACGACAGTGTACAGATGTCGATGCCAAGGGAAATCTGACGCAGGACCTCTTGTGGAGTCTTGGGAGGATCCATGCATAACTTGGGAAGAGGTGCCAACGGAGGATAGTTGACAAGTTCGGGAAGCAGGTTTGCATCGTAAACGGCCAGGCCATCTAATTTCTCAAGCACATCTTCCGATAGATGTCTCAGATAGTCCCACTGGATGGGATACTCGACTGGAAGTACTGGGGCAAACACGGAGCTATCCAAGGAATCTGTAGATTTAGACGATGCAAGCTTGCCTAGGAATTCGTCCAACCACACTTCTGTCCGTTCCGTCATTCGTACCAGCTTCTTGGACGAGGGTGTCGCGCTGGTGTGCGGCAAGTCGGCCATTGGCAGCACGATATCGGGTTGCAGCGACTGGACGTAAGATGTAAACTCAGGTATCGTCACATTGCGGAATCCAGTTGAAGTGAAGACGGCGAGAGCCTTGGGCGTATTTCCAAACGGAGTTGTAACTGCCGGATTCCGTCGTGGACCAAGTACTGAAAGAGTGTTTGACGGCAGGGCTGTAAATCTATGCAACCGGCGTGAACCATCTCCGCTGGGTGTGTGCTGAATAGGAGGCTCCTTTTTCTCAATAACTACCAGTTATAATCAGCCAACAACCTCGTCATGAGTCAATGCAGATTTGATGACTCACAGTCTTCCAGCGCCATGTACACTCCGCTTACAGACGTATGTCTCTTGAAGTTGTCGGGGGTGAGATGGGGAATTGCCCCGCGAGATGTGACTGCGAAGAAGTTTGGTGTTTCGACGACCCTTTTGCCGGGAAAAGTCAACTTTCCAAGACGGGCGGCAGAGCCATCGGCGGCGGCAGTGCCTATGAGGTCGAAGAGTTTGCGGCCAGACATGTCGGAAGAGTTCTCAAGACATGGATCGCTCATTTTGAATTGCCACCCCTCTAGGGTTGGGGAGTGGGAGAAGAAAAAAAAATTAAGAGGTGAGAAAAGTGACCTGCGAATGAATCTATGAAGCAAAAGGGCTATGGAAAAAAAAGTCACGATGCGTCTTGACAAGGAAGCCTCATCAACTGTATAGTCTATGCATCAAACGCCCAAACGATAGATGATGGAATCCCACAATCTTTGTGATATGGAGCACCAACTCATGGCCCGTATTCGACAGTTCATCCTGGCTGCGGTGCCTGACTGATAAGACACATTACTTCGTCTTATCTCTTGCCGATGTTTGTCCGACAATTAGCACATGCGCTTGTCTGAATCCCGAATCTTCAAAGAGATGGACCCCTTTGCTCCAGACGACATTGAACGGAGCTGAGAATACGCATCCTTTCTGGTAGCGAGATGAAGCTAGAGGATTTGCCGAGAGAGAAACTTCAATCGTATCCACATGACCATATAGCCGTGTGCTGCAGATGCCCGTAGCCCGCCTGCTGTTCTCCTTTTAGCATCTCCGGGAGTTTATTGAAGCCCTCAGCGGCATGTGCATGAACGCATCCGTCACCCATTGAATGAACAACCACCGAATCAAGAGCGTCGCCTGCGCCCTGTGTGCCCTCGACAATTGCTCAATAGCATCATCAGCTGCAAACACGATTGTCCCCCGACCTCTGCGATTCGCGATTGCTAACAGACCTCAATTCGCGCGTGATATCCCCCAAACCCAGGCCAAACGAGAACAGCTTCTCATCCAATCACGCCCCATCAAGCCCAGCCGCGTGCCGCCTGCTCCGTCCTTTTACTTGCTCCCATCTCCAAACCTCCCGAGCTTCCGGCGACCCACCACATCAACCCCCCGTATTTAGAGGCTGAGCGGCCGCGTTTGGGATCGGTTTAGTGGCAGTTGGATTGACCTTTTGTTCGCTGCAAGCTTTAGTACGTTACAGGCAAATTCCCCCGTGCTGTGCCCTACCAAGGCCATTCAGTCGATCAATACGAGTCCTTGAGGACTGTGCCTCAACCATGGTGAGACCGTTCAAGCCTTACCACGACAACGATGAGAGCGAGCCACTCATGAAGGACGACCCGGAGCGAAACGATTCCGGCGCTGGCGCTGGCGCTGCGTCCACCGTCACTGAAACCGAAACTGACCATCCCGATGCGCCGCTGGAGATCCCCGTCCAGGCCGCTACCGCTCCAGCCGGCCGCGGCACCACGACGCTCGAAGTCATCGACGACAACAGCAGCAGCGACGGCAATGCGCCCACGCCGCGCTTCATCCAGGACGAGCGCTCGTCCAAGCGATGGCGCAAGATTCCCTACCCCGTCCGCCGCGTCCTGGCCGCCTTTGGCAAATGGGCGCAAGGCCCGCCCAATCCGCAGCCGTACCGCATCAAGCCCTTCTTCCCGGCCGTGCAAGAGTATCCGCTGTATCTCGTGGAGCGGTTCCTGCCTAGGGCCTACCGCCTCTGGGCCATCTTCCTCTACTTTTCCATCTGGGTCGTTACGTTTGTGCTCGTCAAGCGCCAGGAGACCATCGCCTCGACCGTCGCGGGATGGGGCCAGTCGCAGCCCATCAGCTGCGGCGACACGTACTGGAGCGCGGGCAATGGATGCGGCTTGGACGGAAACGACTGCAGGCCCTTCAATGGCAGCGGCTTCGCCTTCCAGTGCCCGGCCTCGTGCGAGAGCTACCACGTCCTCAATCCCAGGGCCGTTGGTGACCAAGAGGTGATTTACCGGCCAATGGTCATCGGAGGCCCGTCCAGCGACGTCAATCCCGAGCTGGCCACCTATCGCGGCGATTCGTACATTTGCGCTTCGGCGATTCACGCGGGTCTCTTCCCCAATCGCAAGGGCGGCTGCGGCGTCGTCGAGCTTGTTGGCCAGCACCAAGAGTTCGTCAGCTCTCAGCGGCATGGCATCCTCAGTGTCCCCTTCGACTCGTACTTCCCTCTGGCGTTCCGGTTCGTTCCCGACATCAAGTGCAGGGCCAAGGACGAGCGATGGTCCATCCTGGCTCTTTCGGCCGTCTTCACTGGCGTGCTGTCGCTTTGCACAACCTCGCCGGCTCTCTTCTTCTTCCCCACCTTCACCGGCATGTTCTTCGCAGTCGGCATGTCCCTCGACCAGCCGGGGCATTCCACGGTGACGGGTCTGTTTTCCACCATCCTGGGCAAGTTTCTTCCCGCCATGTTTTGCGCATGGGTCATGTACGACAAGATGGGCGTCCGCCGCACGCTGAAACATCTGACTGCGCAGATTGAAAAGACGGTCCTCTGGTTGGGCGCCTGCTGGGTGGGCGCTCTCACCAACTACACGCTGGACTTTATCCCCATCCAGCGTCTCAATAAGCATGATCTTGATCAGCAGCCTGGGGCTAGAGCGGCTCTGGCCACCATTGTCATCATCTTGTTCTTCATCATCCTCTCGCAGGTGTTTTTCTTTAGACAAGAGGGTCGGTTTATCCCGTACATTAAGCTATACGCCCTGTTCATCTTCAGCATCCTCATCTCCTTGACGCTCCCAGGGCTTTCGCTGCGCCTCCACCACTACATCCTGGCGCTGCTGCTGCTGCCCGGCACGAGTCTGCAGACTCGGCCGGCGCTGCTCTACCAGGGCCTCCTGATCGGGCTGTTCATCAACGGCATCGCCCGCTGGGGCTTCGACCCCGTGCTGGAAACGCCCGCGGCCCTTCAGGGAGACGCACAAAAGGGATCTCTCCTCCCGACCATCCCCCAGCCCGTCATATACATCGGGGAGGGTCCGCACAGCCCCTCCAACATCACCTTCACTTGGAACCAGCCGCCGAGCAACATCTACGACGGCATCAGCATTCTTGTTAATGACGTAGAGCGCTTCCGGGGCTATTTCGACGACATCATCGACCGACAAGACAGCTTTATTTGGTCTAGAAACGGCACCCTCGGGCTGCCCGAGTACTTTAGATTTGCATACATGCTAGGAAGCTCGAGCGGGGATTATACAAAGGCCGGCATCTGGTCGGCCGAAGGCGAGTGGACGCGGATGAAGGCCGGGCCGTCCCGCGTCAAGGCCAGGGACGCCCAGGAGCACATAGTCCGACGATGATTTTTTTTCCCTTGTTGCGTCTTTTTTTGATGTTTGTTTATATTGGATTCCTCGAGCTTTGCATTGTGGTTTGATATATATATATATATCCATATCTATATATGTCGTAGGTTGTATAGAAGCAGTCTCTGGATAAATGACAGATTACATGATATGATTGATTCTGCTTTTCTGATGCTTGTCACGAATCATGGAGTTTTAGTGGATCCTCCGGCGCCGGGACAATGCTCCGCTCCGTGAATGCCTTGGTGAGATGCCGCTTTAGATTTCACCGGCATCTTGACCTTGGATCATACAGCTTGAACAATACATACCGAGTGAAATTATCAAGAATGAGAAAACGCCAACCTCGGGTCACTTGAACGAATATTCAGCTTTCAACTTTCATCTCGCCGGCAGTCTTTGTGAAACAACCACTCCCCACTACCTCAATTCTCAACCCCAGCAACCACCACAGCAAAAAACCACCATCAAACACCAAAACAGAAAACAGACACTCAGAAAACCCTCTCATCATCATCATCATCATCCCCCATCAATGCCTCCCAGAATCCCCACAGAAGCAGACTTCTCCCCCCTCTCCCCCATCCTCCCCCACAAACTCCATTTCCCCTCCCCGCCCGAATCAACAACCTCCATCCTCATCCTCCTCCACGGCCTCGGCGACCACGAACTCCCCTTTGCCACCTTCGCCCGCAACATGTCCCTCCCCGGCGTCCTCGCCATCTCCGTCCGCGGCACATCCCCGCTCCCGGCCGCCTTCGCCGGGGACCAGCAGCAGCATTTCCACTGGGGCGATGACCTGAGCGTCGACACTAACACGGGCGAACTGGACCCGGACCCGGGCTTCGACAAGGCTTCGCGGCTGGTCATGCAGAAGCTGGTTAAAGACACGCTGATTGACCGGTGCGGATGGGAGATGAACGATGTTCTGTTTTTCGGCTTCGGACAGGGCGCGTCTTTGGCGTTGGGATTGGCGTCAAGGTTACGAAGTGTAGAACGCATAATCGACGTCTCGGATGGCGATGAGACGACGAGGAACAAGTTTGGAAAGACGTGCAAAGGCGTCGTTTCGATTGGTGGACCGCTGCCGCAGTCCATGGTTCCCTCGTTGAGCAGCCGCGAAAAGAGCGATACTCCGGTGCTGGTGTGCCAGCTGAGTGAGGATGAGGCGGACGCTGTGAAGAAAGAGTTTAAGGATGTCAGGGTCGTGAATTGGAAGAGAAGGGAAGTGGCTATGCCGAGGGACAGAGACGAAATGTTTCCCATTATGAAATTCATCGCGGACCAACTCAACAAGGGCTTCAGATAGAGGGGGATGAAAGCTTAAGAGAGAGAAAAAAACAACAATGAGAACCATCTCAAACATGTAATGTGACGTCTTCTTGAATGACCTGTCCATTGGACAATTGATCTAAAAGGGTATCTTTCTACTCATCGTCTCATCAACCCCCCCCTTTCTCTACCAATGCTGATATCCCATCATCTCCTGTTTCTGCTATGGCCCGCCTGCAGCATATCTGCCAAAATGTCCCACTTCGCAGACTGAGTATCGCTCGAGGCCCTCGCAGCACCCTTCAGCCCCGAGCAAATGAAGCTCAAATGCCCATCAAAGTCGGCCTTGATCTCTTCCAACACTTGTATATAAGCCTCGGCGTCGAGTCCATCCTCTCTTACCACGCCCTCGCTGCTTTCATCCTCCTGCCTAAACAAGTGAGACGGCTCAGACCCATCCCTTGCAGCTTTCCCCTCTCTGGCCAGTTCCAGCTGAATGGCGAGATCCAAGATGTCGAGGATGCGCCCCCGAATCAGCTTCATCTTACTTCCGAGACAGGCTTGTTCAATCATTTGCTCTAGGTACGTGGCGTGGACCGAAATCATCGAATCAACATCCTCAGCCGCCATGAGCTCACGTCGCATTCCCCGCTCATTGGGTTCCAGAACAAGCGTTGCCAGGTATGATTGAAGAGTCGTGCAAAACCACAGCAGATTTCTACGAGCGGTGTAGAACAAAGCACGCTCGTCCCAGTTTTCGTCATCGGTCGTGTGGTTGTCGAGGATCTTGGGTTTGTGGAGGATGTGAATAGCTCGTCGCAGCTGCAGTAGCAGCGTGAAGATGGATTGATAGTTGCCCATGCTCTCTTCGGAGACAACAATCTGGACTGGCCACGCAAGCCTGTAGTCGATCTTGAGATACGGCAGAGCGGCTCTCATCGAGCCTCGGGCATCTGTCACCGTCATGCGGGTGCCCTGAACGCTGACGCTCACAGATAGGCGGCTTATATCAACGAGCGGCATAAAGGCATCTTGGGCAGTTCCCGCAAGAGCAAACCGGTCATACCAGACTGGGTTCAGGTTTTCCAGCTTGTCGAACAGGTGGTCCGTAAAAGATGCCGTGGCAAACCCGTCCGACATGAGATACAGCGCTTGGAGTGCATCCAGTGACGAAGAGAGCTCGCATGTCTCGAAGAGCGCATCCTTCAGGGTAGTAGAAGTTTTTCGGTACTTGCTCTGGATCCATCGGTTGAAAGCCGCGCCAAAGAGGTCTGGGAACGTAGCCAGACCGAGGCCCTCCGGGCAGACATGCTCAAAGTCCAAGGACGGCTCCTCGACGATGGAAGAGTTACCCGGGTCGTATTTACCCAGGAGCCGCAACACGACAATGTTCTTTCCCGCGTTATATATCCGATGAGCGGCAGGCTTAAGAAACTTTGGAGCGTGCAGCGTGCCCTCTGCCGTTTGGCGGAGCTTGAATCGACACTGCCATATGTTGCTCATGGGCACTTTGGTCGGGCTTTCAAAGATGAAGAAGATTTCGTTTTCTGATGAGATGCGCCCTTCGTCCATCCAATGCCGAATCGGGCGAATGTAAACTTGAAAACACTCGAGAAAGATCCGGGCCAGAAACTCGTACGTGGACATGTCATCCTTTAGCTGGGCCAGTGTGGTTTCGTCGTACAGGAGTTCAAGATACCGGAACGTGTCCGACCTAGACGTTTCCTGAATCTGGGCGATGATGTTGGACAGCACAAGCAGGGGCTGTAGCCAAGACGCGATTTCGCCGTGGACAGACAATAGGGTGAACATGACGTCGGACGTGGGAGCAGCAAAGCGAGCTTCGATCTGCGAGAGCTTGGCATCGAACTCTCGAAGCCGCTTTGCAATGCAGTCTTGAAACGCCTGGAGATGCGGAATGGCCTGCGGGTGGCTAACGAACCTCCGAAGTAGTAGGATGCGCCAGCCGGACTCTGCAATGGTGTGTATCACAGACTTGTACGTCTCCCAAGCGACGTGTTGCATGTGGAAGTTTGGTTCCGGCAAGCCAGTATTTTCGTTGAAAAGGGTGGTTTTCAACCCTTGCAGCATGGAGAGGATTTCCCTGACAATGTGCGTCTCTGAAATGGAAATCTTCTGAACGGTCCCAATGTCGTCCTTCTGAGGCACCTCGGTCCGCCATTTCTGTGCCGACTGAAGAGCCTTTAGTAACTCTGTGTCCTCTGGTTGGATGATGCAGTCAGTGGCGGTTCTCCCCTTTTTGTGCAGGCTAAGATCTGTGTCGTAAGGGTGATATAGCGGCACCTCGATGAGGGTTTCGTCGTCCGGCTCTTCTTGGACAACTTCGTCTTCTGAATCGCGCCCGTAATCGATCGACTGCCACAGATTCTCATCCTCAGCCCAGCCATCCTCCCGAGCAACATCCTCCCAGCTAAAGGTTTCTGCCTGCTCCTCCTCACGCAGTCGTACGGCGTCTAGATCACTAAGCTTTGTTTTGAAGGTCGGTTGATCGGATAATCCTAGAAGCAGAGCCAATATCTCTGGGTGCCACCTGGTGGCATGTTCTTCCAGCCTATCCAGGCTATCGCGGAACTCGTCGGCCAGGTCATCTCGGTTGTTAACGCGGAAGCGCTCTTCCAGCCCGTCGAGGGTGTGCCAGACGTCGAATTGGTTGATGCGGAGGTATGCCTGCGACTTGATTTTCTGCAGCGTGGCATCGTAAAGGATTTTGTATCGCCTGGTTCGTGTCTTGCTGGGAATGCCCGTGGCAGCTTCGATGAGCTCCTCAGTGAGGGCTCCAAGTTGTGCGGCGTAGGCCATTGCCAACCGTTGGCATCTTTAGCAGCAGTGGCGGCCAACCGGAGCTGATGGAGACGCACAATCGAGGGCCATGCAGGAGTTGGATATGGATGTTCGAGATATTTAGAGGCGAGTTTGGATGGAAGCTTCAAGCTGTTGCATGTGCTGAAGCCAGTGGTTTGGCTCAGGTATGTTAGTGCACGACAACTGCACTTAACGGGCCCCCCTCTAGCGCGTCTCCAGCGCGTCTGTGGGGGGGAGCATCAACTAATTGACGGAACTGAACCTCTTATCGGCAGGGCAATTTTCTAGCGTCTGGCGGCATAAAGCAACAAGCGCCTGGCCCCCTTTCAATTGCTGGCGATGCTCGAATAGCGACATTCACAGAGGGAGACTGGATGCCCGGCCACATCGGATAGGCCGTCGCCACCAATCTGCTCAAGACCAACCCAATCCTCATCGCTCTTCATTCCGGCACCATAAACGAGATCCCATGGCCAATTAATCCAGCAGCCTTGTCATCGGGCATCTCGCAACCATCGTCCCCCCTCCATTCGCCCCTCGACATCATGGCTATTGCCCGGCCAGTTCGAGCCCTGGGCACACTCGCCCTCGTGCTGTGGTGCTTCTTCCTCTATCAACTTCTCAAGCCTTCGTCTGGATACAACAGCCCGGGCGATCGGTACATTAACTTTGAGCGCGACCCCAACTTGGATCGTAAGTAGCTGGCAGCCGGGGTGGCGGGATCAAGAGGAGGAAAAGCAAATGAAGCTGTATTTGTTGACACATCTGCCCGCTGTATAGCCACCGGCGAACCCGCGGGAACTCTCGTGCGAACCTCTGCGAAATATGCGCCCGATGCCAAAGACACCGACCGAGTCAGCGCCACGCTGCTAGCTCTTGTCCGCAACGAAGAGGTGGACGACATGGTGGCATCCATGGTCGATCTCGAGCGGACGTGGAACAGCAAGTTCAACTACCCCTGGACCTTTTTCAACGACAAGCCCTTCTCGGAAGAGTTCAAGAAGAAGACAAGCGCCGCGACCAACGCCACGTGCAACTACGGTATGATATGATGCCTGCTTGTCCCGGCTCTAGCAATGGTCGTCATCGCAGAACTAACAAGCAGCCAATATCACACAGAGCTCATCCCCAAGGAACACTGGGACGCGCCCTCATGGATCGACCCCGACATCTTTGAGGAATCAGCCGCCGTGCTTAAGAAGAACGGCGTCCAGTACGCCAACATGATGTCCTACCACCAGATGTGTCGCTGGAACAGCGGCATGTTCTACAAGCATCCCGCCCTCAAGGACGTCCGCTACTACTGGCGCGTCGAGCCCAAGGTCCATTTCTTCTGCGACGTCGACTACGACGTCTTCCGCTACATGCAGGACAACAACAAGACGTACGGCTTCACAATCACCCTCTACGACGACCCGCACACGCTGCCCACCCTCTGGCCCCAGACGGCCAAGTTCCTCGCCGACCACCCGAGCTACCTGCACGAGCACAGCGCCATCAAGTGGGTTGTCGATGACATCCGGCGGCCGCAGCACAACAGAGAGGCCCAGGGCTTCTCCACCTGCCACTTCTGGAGCAACTTTGAGGTTGCTGACATGGAGTTCTGGAGGAGCAAGGCTTACGAGGACTATTTCGAGCACCTCGACCGTGCGGGAGGCTTCTTCTACGAGCGATGGGGCGATGCACCCGTTCACAGCATTGCCCTGGGTCTGTTTGAAGATTCTAGCAAAATCCACTGGTTCGTTTATTACCTCGCAAGGAGTCAGTCGTCAGCTGGATTGGTTATTTTTACTCACTCTATCGATTTTTTGCAGGTTCCGTGACATTGGCTACCAGCACATCCCCTTCTTCAACTGCCCCAACTCTCCCAAATGCAAGGGCTGCGTCACTGGCCGACTAACGGATGGTGAGCCGTTCCTCCACCGAGAAGATTGCCGTCCCAACTGGTTCAAATATGCCGGTATGGGCTGAGAAAAGGTTCTCCATGCCAGGGAGGATGAGACATGAGACTTCAATCCCGGCCTACTAACAATCACCTACTTACACGTACTCCGTACAAGCGGTAACTCCACGCTGTATCGGGAAATACAAGACATGAAAGATTCTCTTTTCATGATATTGCCATGGCTCTATCATGCAGAGTACTGTGGTGGAGGCCAGACTTCCACCCACCCTTGGTCACAGTTATTGTTGGGCGCCGGTATGGCTGGCTATAGTATATTTATGGCTACTTTGTGTATACTTGATACTTGGAGAACAACTACATCATGATCCGCAGTGTAACATCTTAGGGAAGACGAAATAAACGAACAAATTCCAATTGAAAAATCGTAACAATTACCAACCCCGTAGTTGTCATCGCATGTGTCGTATTACGCTATAATGCCCCAAAGACCGTCACCACTCCAGACGTTCCTCCCACACAAAACTGGTCTCCCCAGCCTCCGTCCCGCCATGCCATACAGCTGATGACATTGTTCCGTACTTTGGGCTTGCCGTCTTTGCCAATCAACTTTTTCGCCTCGTGGCCTTGAGGCCCCCACGGCACCGTCACCTTGGCCACCACCTTGCCCGAGAGCAGATCCCACGCCCAAAGCCTGCCCGAGCCGCTAGCATCTGTCTCGCCCGCCATTTCGTCTCCAGCTACCACGTACTTCTCCCTGCCGCCCAACAGCGACTGCACTCGCAGATCCTCGTTCTTCCACAGCGGGTCGGCGTACGCCCGGAGACACGTGCCGTTGTCACGATCCATCAGCCTCAGCTTGCTGTCCAGCGAGCCCACGAGCATCGCCTTGCCATCTTTCGTAACGTCCAAGCTGACCACGCTTGCGCCAACGACATCCGTAGTACACGCTCCCATGCGCACATCGTAGCTCCTCACCCTCCCATCCACACTCCCCGCGATGACCTCGGGCCCCCTCACCACCAAGCTCGTCACCGAATCCTTGGCCTCGCTCAACACTTGTATCGGCTTGTAGCTGGTGCTGCGCACATCCCACAGCCGCACCGTCGTGTCAAACCCGCCGCTGACCACCAGCGAGTCTCCCGCACCCGCAAAGCTCACGCAGTTGATCCGGGCCGAGTGGCCCTGCGCGTTGCCCCCAAACCTCCTCGTCGTCACCGCCCTGCTCACGTCCCACAAGAATACCGCCCTGTCGCCGCCCCCCGACACGAAGCTCTCATTGTCAGACGCGACGGCAAGGCTCAAAACCTCATACCCATGCGCAGCATACGTCTGAATCAGCCGTCCTTGCGGCACAGCTGGCTTCGCGCTGGGACGGATCTCAAGGACAGACGTGCTGGGGAAAGGGTTGTAGAGCCGGATTGAACGATCCGCCGACCCGGTGAGGATATAATTCCCAGGGGAAGCCGAATAAGCTACGGCATGAACGGCGCCTAGAGAATGTGAGATTAGTATTTAAAAGATTCCCAGTCCGAGGTGAATGAGAGCGAAAAAGAAAAAAACGAACCATTGGAGCCTAGGAGATGCGCCACGGGCTTATCTGGGAACGTCATTTCGTAAAGCACAACGGCTCATCACATCATGTTTCTGCAGCGGCGTTTGCTTGAAAGAACCACAATCTCAATATGAGAGGATGCTGAATCAAGAGCATCAAGTTTGAATAAGAGAAACAAGACGGGCTCTTCTTAGAATGACATTGTGATGGCCCCTTCCTTGCTCCGTTTCTTCCTTTTTTTTTCTTTGAGAAGAAAGAAATGAAAAGAGTAAAATGCTTCTTTTCTTGCTAAAACGAAAGCCAAACCGTGAATAAGCAAATTCACTGGGGCAAAAAGTCAGAAGCGATTCCTGATATTCGATGCATCTACCAGAGGATTTAAGTTGCGAGAGAGTTTGGTAGTTGACTGGCATATATTTAGAATGCATCACATGATGCGACACGTGACTCATCCAACATCTGAGTCCAATGTCTTTTTTGCTCCTGTTGCTTAAATGACAAGAGATGAAAAGCTATCTCATATATACATATATACATACATACATCAACGTTGCGCGTCATCCTGTTTTTGTAGACTCCCAATCAATAAGGATACAGATTCGCTATCAAGGCCCCCTTGACACATCGAATGCCCAAACTCCTCATCCCAAGTCATCCGATTCAAGTTGCCCTGATCTTGATGCCTCCTGAAATGCCCAAACGAGCAGCGATCTAAAAACGCTAAACCATGCATGACACGTTAAAATATTCCTAATTCCAAAGGCACAAGCCGATATTCAAAAGAAGAGGAAAAGAAGACGAAACACAAAAGGAAATATATATATATTAGGGGTTGGAGACCCTAGGTGGACGAGGATTTGATTTATTCAAGCCCGACATAAATCACGTCCATGTCCTTTGGGAATGTTTGCTCAATGGGATCTAGAATCTGCCAGTGGTTGAGCTCCTTTTCCTTTGTATCTTCCGACAGAGGGAGCAGCCGATAGCCTTGAATGGGACTCGGGGGCCGTGATCCCAACTCGCGAATCCGATTCAACTTTTGTAGACGTCGGTCAATGGCTAGACGGTCCTTTGAAGAGGCCTCCCAGATATTCTTCGTCCTGTCAACGGCGGACTTGGCAATTAGAACTCGCTCAATCACGTCCCCCAGAACAGTCATGGGCCCAGTTGCGGTCAAAACATCGACGGCTTCTGTGACCGCAACAGCCATCGCAGGAGGAGGAATCGTAAGCAATGCGGACCTGACTCGCAAAATACGGTCCAGACTGTTTAGCATCTCAATGACCCTGCCTGCGTGCTCTCGGCATTCGGCCGAATGTCCCAATTGGACATCCTTAGGCAGTTGGCCGGCTCCATGACGATGTCGGTTCAACTCAATCATAGTATGATGATAAAGAAAGTGCATACTGAGGAAAGAGCCGGTGCTTCTGGTAAAAGCAGCCGCCTCAAGATTTGCACCCCCAAATGCCAGGCGAGGGGGTAGAGAAGTAAACCAATTCTTGGCTCTCGTAATGAGATTTTGAAGCTTTGCAGTCTCTG